GGGCGAGCTCCTGTTCGGGCGGCGAGGCCGCGGGGAGGGAAACGGGCGCTGCTACCTGGGGTGAGGGGTTGTGCGGGGGGCGAGCGGCGCCGTGCCGGAGCCTGAGGAAACGGGGTGTCGGTGTTGGGAGGCTGAGGAAATGAGGGGGGAGGGTGGGTGATGCCTCGGGAGGATGCAGTCCCTCACCTTCCCTCAGGCCAGGGCGTGCGGTGCTTCTTACGCCTCGGCCTCCTTCCCCATGGCTCCTAGGTCTTTGCAGCAGAAGGGGTGCCGCCTTCAGCAGGGTCACCGGCCATGCCAGGCCCGACCACGCAGATAATACGACTCTTCTCCCGAAGGCACGTACTCAGTTGAGCCCAGCACCGTGGTATCTCAGCGCAGCCTCTGCTTTTCTGAAATAAGGAAATAACTTTGCCCTTCCTTTAGCTGCTGTGGAACTGAGGCACAAGAAGCCAAATAGCTTGCCCAAGGCCGTGCACGAGCAGGGCAGGAATATAGCAGGAGCCTGGCAAATTCTTCTTTCCTGGCCTGGCCCACAGGCTGTTGTGATGTGAGCTGTGATAAACACAAAGTGTTTGTCCCCGCTTGCTAGTGCATGGGGATATGGTATCGTTACCAGGTATCCTGTGTTTGCTCTGAGTCACTCAAGAGCCACTTGTTCATTTTGTGTCTTAACACTGGGACACGCTTTGCCCAGCCTTCAGGAAAGGTCTTCCTGTTTCTCTGAAAGGTCCTGTATCTGTGGTTTATATAAATGCATTGTGTGCGCTTGTATTTATGAATCACTGTTATGACACACAAGTGTTATGACTCACATCTTTTGGCTTGCATGGTTTAAAAAAGTGGCAAGACTAATATACCGTGTTCTAAGTAGCTAGATGCCAGGTTTTATACCCTCTCTGCACCTCTCTAGCAGTCCTAGGAGTTTGTTGATTACTCAATGTGATGATGCTGCGGTTCTGTTCTTTGTGGGATGTCAAATGTGAGATAATTTGAATGTGGAAAGAAAACGGTATGTTTTGGCTGCTTTGGATCGTGCAACATTTTGTTCCATTTTGCAATAGCAATAAAGATGAAATTGCAAAGTTGGTGATACTTTTGCCAAGAGATAGAGCTTGAAATTATGTTTTCCAATATGGAAACCAGTATTTCTTTCTCTCCTGCTTTTGCTTCTCTTTCAGTCCAAAGGCAGGAGAGGTTTTATTGGCGTTCACTGAATTAATGCTGCCTACTATGTTAGTTTGAAGTCACTGCCATGAAGGTTAGAACATGAAAACATATACTTATTATGGGAGTAACCTTTAGTTGCATATTGAGGGTAGTATTTGCCTGCCATGTTTGCATGAAAGTGTGTTTGAGAGTCATTTTCAGGATAGATATGTGACACTGTGTAGAAGGATCTGTGCTGAAAATGGACACAAGTGGTCTCAATTCTCATACGTATAACTCATAATTTCATACGTATAACTCATAGCATAACTTTGTGGTCTCAATTCTCATACGTATAACTCATAGCATAACTCAATGATTATTTCTAAACTGGATTTTAATGTGGCTAGGTCCAGTTTAGTTTCACTTATACAGACCAGATCAAACCAGGTTATCATCCACTTCAGGCATATCTCTTATTAAATCAGTAGTATTGGCTGAATAGCTAGGATCACCTTAATTCATCTAGAGCTAGAGGGGGGTTCAAAGCTGAAGAAATTGACTGTTGGGGCTCATCTGATAACAGGCAAAGGACTTGCAAATGGCATTTGTAATAGCTGATTTTCAGCAATTTCTGCAGAACTGGATTGGAGACTTAAAATAGGAATTAGGCTGTCAGCTATAGGTAACCCTGTTATCAAGATAGCATTAAAGAGAGCAAATGTATATGGAAGATACGATATACAAACAAAACTAAAGTTTTGGATTTGCAGTGGAACCTGTGAAATCATGTCTTACAATGACACCATTGGACTTCATTGATTCTTTATAAATAAAGTAGATTATTTTTAGCACGCCATTTGTGAAACTTTTGATGAAAAAGATTCACATACAGGAAACTTAACATTGTGTATCAGGAAGAACTGGGTTAAAGAGATGAGCGTCTTGTAGAGAAATTGTGTGCCTGTGGTATCATCCAGATATTTCTGAAGCTTAACCAGAGAGGCTGAGCAAAACAGTTACTTTAGTCAGTCTTTCAATGAGGAGTTGCTGGGTGATCTGTTAAAAGGGTGAAACTTCTGTCTAGCTGGATTCAGCATGTTGCAAAGTATATTTTAAAAACTCTTATATTTCTCTTTAATAGCTGGGCCTGGCCGGATAGGGCATAGTGCGATTTTTGAAGAATGGCAAATGTTGAACTGGCAATGTTTGCTTTCCAACCCTTATTTTTAGTTATTGAAATAATACTATAATGCTGGTTTTTTCCCTCCCTATTATTCCTGACAAGGTTTTAGACCTATTGATACAAGAACCAATTTGATACATGTGGACATCAGTTTCTTTTTTATTATTTTTATTTTTTGAAACCAAGCTTTACCAAAAGCAGTGGTGGCATGTCCACGTTTCATTATCAGAAATGAGCTGTGGCAACTGCCACTATTACCCAGAGCCACTCCTGGCTCTGTGTTGGGTTGTGTTTCACAGTTTTAGAACCATTGCTGCATGTAATTTAAAAGCTTTCCATGAAATCCTGGTGGTTGTGAGAATACGTTGCTTACTGATCTTAGATGTGCTGATGTTAGCACCTAAACAGTGCTGCTAGATTGCCAGTGAAACTGAAGTGATAAATACTGGGTTTTTTATAGGATAGGTGTTGGATGATGTTTTGGGTATTTAATATTAACTATGTGCAGAAATGTTTGAGCTGGCTTGAGTATTAGGCCAACTAAAATAGGGGCATTTGGTTTTATAATGAGGTCTCTGGCTTCAGAAGGCATTGTTGGGTAGAAAAATAATCTTAACTGTTCACCATTGTGTGCTTTTTTTTTTATGGAAGATCCAGCAAATATTATGGAATAAACTTGAGTAACCTTGTGTTTTTAGCATCACTCATGCCTTGTTTTTCCTTCTTGGGAAAGTCAAGTCCATCATCTGTTTTTTATGCTTGCTTTTTTGTTTTGTTTTGTTTTTTCCTTTTTATCTGCTTTGTTTCTGCAGCTGCAGTTTTATGTTGCATAGTGTCCAGTGGCAATCTCGTACTGTTTTTGCCATGGGATGGTGCCTTGGTCAGTTCTGCTTGTGGTGCCATGTTGTGAACTGCATCAGAGATTTGAGCAACTGGAAAGGAAACTTACTTTGCCACGTAATTTTTTAGACAGATCAACTCTCTTACCTGATTTGCTGCGCAGCTGATGGCTGGGACTTGTGATGTAATATCTCAAATCAGTGTAGGTGCTGCATGGTTCAGACGCTTGTAATGACAAGCCCTATGCTCAGCTGGAAATACGGACAGGTGATTTAGAGCCAACTCTTCACAGACCTGCAGCAAATTCTTTGCTAGTAGTCTGACAATGTCTAGACTAGATGTTCAAACCCACCATATTAAGAACAGTGTTCTATATATTAAGTATGTAAACATAGGAAGTGATGGGGTAATTGTCAATGCTGTACTTGCTCTTGATTGTAGTAAAGCTTCTAAACACTTTGAAAATGATGTGTAAGCAGCTGCTTAAGGAACAACCTGCTGTGGCACATAATAAGGAGTTTTTATTCTGTGGCTAGGAGCCTTTTGTGGCAGATGAATACATTGAACGCCTGGCATGGAGAACACCTGGAGGAGGTTCCAGAGGTGGAGAAGCTTTTGATCCAAAAAGGTAAAATAAAATTGCATAATGGTCAAAGCGAATGTATCTCTAATGGTACTGTTTTTATTACACATATAACAAAAAGCCTGTACATAGTGTTGGTGTGTGTCCAAGGAGGTTTTCATTTGGGAGAATTGCTAGAGTTTGTGACCATGAGCCAATTATTCAGAACCAATTATTCAGTAACA